CCTTTCTATCACATAAAACCCATGAAACCCTATTCCTTTTCAGTAATCCCGCTTGAATTTGATAGGTTACACCCCTTTTACTTTTCAATTATTTTGTATTGCGAACCAAAGATATTTAAATTGCGTGACTTGTGAAATAATATGGTCTCCAAATTTTAACTCTAGGTTAGAAACTGCATAATTTTGTGGTTTATATTATATATTTCTGAACTGATACAAATGAGTATATATATGATACAAGGAACTAACACGTATGCTAATCAGGCCTAAAAATTAAGAAAATAATTTCCCACTAGTACTGCTACTAAATGACATTAGTTGAGAATAATTATATTTTCACTAACACATCTAACTTCTGCACAATTAGAATTCCATAACAGTTGAGTAGTAACCATTATTTGAGTCATATACTCTTCAATACTCTCACTCAATCTGGGTGATAAATGTATATCATTCCAATATTGGATATGATGGTTCTCATATGTATTTCTTGGAAGAGCCTTGGTTAGAATTTCAGATGTTTGCCTACATGATAGGACATGATCAACCCTTACAATATCATGATCAATTTTTTTTAATGAAGTGTCTGTCAATCTCCACATGTTAGTCCTATCATGAAGAACTAGGTTCTTAGCAATGCTTATAGAAGCTTTGTTATTACACAATATTCTCATATTATGATTCATTTTTTATTTCACCTATCATCCTTTTAAGCCACCTTTCTTCACAAATACCTTGAGTCATCGCTCTAAATTATCCTTCTTCACTACTTTTAGCTACCACCGATTATTTCATGTTTCTCAATGTCACAAGGTTCCTCCATAAATATAAACAATAACCTATAGTTGATTTTGAATGTGATAAAAACACAAGAGAGAGAGAGGGGTCGGATTTTGTTGACTTTTTTATTTTATTTTTAAAACTCTTAAGTCAGATTATAAACACAAGGTTATATAATCTGGTTTAGTTAGAGATAGGCAGCAAATATAAAATGCAAGAAAGAAGAATAACACACAGAGTTATCCTAGTCCCTTTCACAACTCGACATTAATCCAGTCCCCTTGTACTTACAATAGATTTTTACTATAATCGCACAAGGTTAATATTTTCTCAAACCCACAAGCAAGAGACTTCCTTTACTCAAACACACAAGTAAGACACTTCCTCACTCTAGCACACAAGCTAAAGACTTCATTTGCTCAAACACACAAGTAATATATTTCCTTGATTTAGCACACAAGCTAGAGACTTCCTTTGCTTAGACACATAAGTTTGAGACTTCCTCACTCTAGCAAATAAGCTAAATAATTCCTTTGCTCAAACACACAAGTTTAAGACTTCCTTACTCTAGCACGTAAGTTAAAGACTTTTTTTGCTTAAACACACAAGTTTAGGACTTCCTTACTCAAACACTTAGTAAGATACTTCTAACAATCTACCAAGTAGATAAATGATTGTTGGGTGAATACACATGATATACAATTAGAGGTGTATAAATAGTACAATGCAATATAACTCTTTTAAGACTTAGGGATTTCTAAGATATATAAGGATAAGAAATCATAAGTTTAGCTTGTGCTAATACTTTGACAGAGTAACTTCTCTTTTGGTGTCAATCGATATATATTAGCGTTTGAGAACTTGTACGTGTGTATTGATCTTCAAGTCTTTTAGCTCCTTAAATAGCAAAGATAAAGAGTCGTTGAAGATGTAACAATTGAGTTCTTTGAGAACATCAAAAGAGACACTGGGATGTTTAATGAGCTGTCAGCTTAGGTGAAAACTAGTTTTAAAAATCTTTGCTACAAAAGGAATTAGTATGTTCAGAGATGAGCAGTGACCTATCAGTGTCGCCTTGGTCCATGCGCTTTAACTAGCTCAGGTTTCGAACAGAAGCAAACTTCTCCAAAGTCTGGTCTTCAGAGGCTGACTGAATAATGACCTCTTTAGAAAATGACTTCTTTAGAGTCTAATCTTCAGCCTCTAGTCCATCAAAATTTGATATTCACGCTTCTCATTGAATGTTCAGAGTCAAAACCAATACTTGGATTTTATACGACATTTTAGTCTATGGTCCTACATATTTAAACAAACATTAGTAAATCCAATTGTTCTTTAAATACTTTTTTATCATCAAAACCTAATGGATAAAGGACAAACCAATTTTGTTCCAACAAATTTTCTGTCCGTGAAACATCCTGCCCAATCTAAATATGTGTAAACTTTAATGCCACTTTTTGAGTTCCTCTTGAAGTGTATACGCCAACCTGGTGTGCCTTTGAGGTATTAGAGGATTGTGTTCACAATTTTCATGTGGCCCTCAGTTGGATTTTACATGTACAGACTAATCAAACTTGCTTCAAGTGCAATGTCATGCCTAATATGAGTTAGTTAGATTAGTTTTCCACCTATACTTTGATATTTGTCTTTATCAGTTGATGGGATTTCATCCTCACTCTTTTTTACTGGTTCTATGGGAGTATTAGTTACCTTGCACCCAAATATTCCAGTTTCTTGAAGTAAATATAAAGTGCATTTTCTTTGTGACACACACACACACACACACATTTTGTTCGAGCAACTTCCATCCTTAAAAAATACTTGAGTTGTCCCAAGTATTTGACTTCAAATTCCACAACTAAGAGCTTGTTTAGATGATCAATTTGATCATAATCATTTCTTATGATAACAATGTGATCAACATAAACAATAAACATATCTACCTTTCCTTCTCTTAAGTGTTTGACAAACATAGTATGATATGATTGACATTGGTTGAACCCATCTTCCTTAACAACTTAAGTTAATCTATCAACCCATGCCCTCGGAGATTTGTTGAGGCCATATAGGGATTTTCGAAGCCAACACATCATATTTGAGGTGCTAGTTGATTCATGTCCCGGATGGATTTACATATAAACTTCCTCTTCCAACTTAGCGTTTAGAAATAGATTTTTCATGTCTAGTTGATACAGTGGTCTATCTAAATTTGCAGCAATAGAATATAACTAACTGAATTTAGTTTGACCACGGGTGCAAAAGTCTCTTCATAGTTCACTCCATATGATACTGCAAATCCTTTTTTCATAAGTCTAACTTTGTATTGATTTATACTCCCATTTGTGTTGTATTTCATATAGAATATCCACTTGTATCCAAGTGGTTTATTCCCTTGTGGTAGGGGTGATCTTCCGAGTTTCATTTTTAACCAAGGCATAACCTCTTATGTTATGGTTGATGCCCATTCAAAATTTTGGAGTACCCCATGAATGTTCTTTGGAATATATGTGTCGTCAAGAATTGTCATTAATGTCTTATAATTTTGTGACAATTTTCCATATGATACATACCTTTCAATGAGGTGTTTAGTACAAAATCTCTATCATTTTCTTAAGGAAATAGAAATATTACTATCATTAACATTACAAAGTTAGAAATATTACATGAGGGAATATCATTTTATAGAGTTTGGTTGGGTTCATGTTTTTACCTTGGAGTTGTGTAGGATAGGGGTGGAAAACAACATGTTCGTCCTGTTTAGACCTGCTCCGTAAAAACCCACAAAAAACATGACAAAAAAGAGTGGGCATAATTGATGGCGCAAACCTTTTAAGCTTAAAAATACAAAATTTTATCTTAATGTTCGTGCCCGCAAAAGCCTGCAAAAAAAACGAGGCGAACACATTAAAAGGTGTAGGCTTAAACCCTTGGCCCGCCCCACACTAAAGTGTAGGCAAAACGAGCATATGCCCAACATGTCGGGTCCATTTTTCCATCCCCACACTAAAGTGTTGGACTCTATTCCTTTCCTTCTCTTCCTGAAATACAGTATCAAGTTGTCTCGGTGCATTTCGTGCTGCACGTTCTGTAGTTTCTTTTGTATTTTCTGTTTTTCCACTGTATTTTCTTCTCTGTTTCCAGCATCTTCCATTGTAGTTTCCTCTGCATTTTCTGTATTTTCCACTATAGTTTCTTCTGGCTCAGATCTAAACTTTGTTACTTCTACATCTTGGGTTTTTGACGCTTTGGTAGAATAGATTTGCTCCCTCTAAATGTCAACTTTGGGGTAGCAAGATTGATTATCGGTGAATGTCAACTTTGGGGTAGCAAGATTGATTATCGGTGAATGTCACATCCATAGTGTGGTAAAAGTTTTTGTTTTGGGGTGAGTAGCATTTGTATCCCTTATGTTTATTCTTTTGCTAAATTTACATTCCATATACTTCATCTTACTTCTGCTGAGGCGAAAGCCATGCATTTCTAAAACTCGTCTTCAAGTCTTTAACCTCTCATTTAGATCTTCCTTCGACTCTCTAAATAAAACATGTATCCGAAAAAAAAAAACATACATCTCGGTACTAATTCTTGAATGTGTTCCGTGAATACATCCAAAATTAAAGAAAAGATAATACTATCTCCGATCTTATTTTTGTAAGAGAAAATTTACTTTTTAGATTCATTAAATAATCAATGTATCTAGACTGTATCATAAATAAGATATATTGATTATTCAATGAATCTAAAAAGTCAACTTTCTCTTCCAATTAGTTTAGAATTCTATACATATATATATAAACTAAAAGACATCATGTTTGACTTTAAAAAGACTATTCTCAAAGTAACATTCGTCATTAATTTATGAAATGTAGTGTGTGGTTTGCATTATATGACAAGGAAATGCACTGTTGAAGGTAGCTTTTATGAAATATTAGAACTATACGTTCTGAATATTCCCTCCAATGCAAGCAAACTGATACAGAAAAGAACTACAAGTAGCATCCATGTTATGTGAGAAAGGACCAGAATTTTGGATCGCCTCTGTCAAAATTTTGCTGACTAATTATTCTTAATTTCTATAGCTATAATCTCACCTAGGTACAAATTATACATATGTAGTATCCATCATAGGTGAGATTGCATTCATAATAAAACCATTCACTTAAGATTTTATGACTCTAATTGTTCATGTAACAAACTCAAAATGATAAAGCAAAGAACAATCACAGACGCGCATTTAGCTCGATCCCGCTTCCTTTGCTGAGAAAAGGATAATCTGTGTAACCTATAACAGGATCCTGTGTGTAAAATGTCTTCCTGTTATACTTATTTAGAGGTGCATTAAGCTTAAACCTTAAGACCAAATCTGGATTAGAGATGAAAAGACGACCAAACGATATCAAATCAGCGTCGCCTCGAGCTACATCTTCCATTCCTAACTTCCTATTGAATCCGCCACTGCACATGAATGTTCCATCATAGGCTTTTCTCAGTTTCCTTGTCAAATGAACTCCGTCTTGGTCTTTTTTACTACCATGCTCGGTTTTGCCATAAGCTGTATATCGAGGTTGAGTTACATGGAGATAGGCGAGTTTTCTACCAAGCTCTTTCTGCAGACTGTTTAGTCTTTCAATCACTGCGAAGCCTAATCCGACTGGATCAGAATCAATAGCATCAAGGTGATCAATTGCTGGTGAAATTCTTACACCAACTCTTTCCACTCCAATAGCAGAAACAACGGCTCGAACCACCTGAATTAAGAATCTGCATCGATTCTCAAGTGATCCACCGTATTTATCTGTTCGATCATTGATCCCGTCTTTCAAGAATTGGTCAATCAGATAACCGTGTGCCCCGTGAATTTCAATTCCATCAAAACCTGTTCGCATGTCTCATTTCAATTATCATGCACATTTCATCTTTAATAGCACGGAAACATGAAATTAATCCATACCCGTGCAGTATCAGCACGGGTATGGATCAATTTTATTATTAAACAACTCGCAATCATAAACTAATAAGCCAAACGAATTCATTGAAGAGAAGCAAATAGATATAAAACCTGCTCGAACTGCATTAATAGCTGATTGGCGATAATGTTCAACGATTTCTAGTATCTCAGAAATGGTAAGTGCGCGAGGATCCGAGTACGGGCCAAAGGAACCATCTGGCTTGAGAACTGTCCACCTCTTCGAAAGAGGTTTGGCCGTGGACGAAACTGGCGCAGCACCACCAGGCTGATACACTGCCTCCCAAGTTAACCAGTCAGCGAAAATAATTGCAAAACAAGCAAATCTAACAAACAACAAATACTACTAAATTCTAAATCCAGTTCATGAAGAATGAAATTTCGATGCATTTAGGATAGTGAAAGGTGTTACCGGAATGAGAAGCGCGGCCAACATGCCATAGTTGGCAGAAGATAACGCCGCCTTTGGCATGAACAGCATCCACAACATTTCTCCATGCCTCAACTTGCTCCTCTGAATATATTCCAGGTACATGGGGAAACCTGAAACAAACCAAAATAATCCTCATCTATAAAGTACTGAATCTGAACGGACACCGGGATATGATACATACATGCTCTGTCACCGATAATGTAAAAAGGGTAGGACACTGTCACCATTACATATATAATTAAAACATTGAAAAAGGAGAGAATGGAGTACCCAGGAGCAGAGGGAGAGATGATGGTTCCTTCAGAGATGAGAAGTCCCCCTGAACTTGATCTTTGACGATAATATTCAGCAAGAGCATCATTTGGAATTCCATTCAAGGCTCTGCATCTTGTCATCGGAGCCAACACCACTCTGCATCAAATCACAAATTCATCATTATATAAAACATTGAAAGTGGAAGATGAAAAAGTGTTGATGAGTACCTATGAGATAAGTTGAAGTTTGCAATCTTGTAAGGAGAAAAGAGGGTTGTTGCTGAAGTTGAAGTATCAGCCATGGATGAATTTCCTCTTCTAAACTTGCAGAATTATGATGATGACAATTGAAGAAGTTCACAATGTGGTAACTTAGTATATGTACTTTTTCTTTTTCATCCTTTGAATGGGTGGGTTTAAACACGTGATTTAATGTTGGAGACTTTGATGAAACGTGATTTGAAATTTGGACGGTGGTCATAAATACAAAAAAACATCATTTTGTTTAAAAAAATAATTAGACGAGTTAGATTTTACTAAATAAGAATATAATAATGGAAAAATAAAAATAAATGTTATATTAGTATTATACAGTGATAATTATTTTAATATAGAGAAAAAATGCAAATAAGATATTTATGAAAAAAGTACTTATATCTAACAATGGTATTGGTTTTTTATTTAATATAATTGTAAAATGATTATTTATATAATTTAATCGATTATAATTTTCTCTTGTTTTATCAGTGTAATAGAAAACTTCATTTATTTAAGAGAATATATTTATATTTTTTATAAACTTATTTAAATATTGCCTTTATTTTTCTTGGAAAATGAAATTTTTTTAAGAATATGTGTTCTAAAAAAAATTGTGGTTACTAAACACATTCAAAGTTGAAAACTTATTTTCTAAGAGCATTCACATCCATTATACTCATTTGTGTTGTTTAAATAGGTCCTATTTATTTTTTTATATTATATTACACTTTTAATTATTTAAACAACTCAACTCCATTTTCCAAATATCCATACAACTCATAAAATTTGTAAAATGGGACCCACTAAATACCACAATATATTAATTACATGCACATGTGACACTTGTAGAAACGTTGTTTAATGTGACAACGGTTGCAAATTAAAGAACGATGTTATTATACAATTATTCATCCTTTTCTGACACAATCACTTTGGTAATAGTGTAGAAACCATACATTTGAACTGATAATTATGCTCTAAAGACGTTTATGGTTGTCTCTTAATTATTATTTTTTATATATTTGTTTTAAATAATTTAATTTAATTTTTTAAAGTCTAAATCTAATAGTGGAATTTGTAATTTCAACATCTGGTATCTAGAGCACTGACTTAGCGATTCGTGGGAAGCAAAACACGATAGAATGACGATGAATCATCCTAATGAACATTTTTCGGTAAGTCTCCCAATTCTGAAGGGTTGGAATTATGAGAATTGGTGTAAACAAATGGAGGTTATTTTCTGTTGTCAAGATCTTTAGGATCTTATGAAGAAAGGAGTAACACCACTTGCAGAAAACACGTCGGATCAAGAAAAAACTGCATACCAAGAATTGAAGAAGAAATATTATAAAGCTCTCTTTATAATTCATCAATGTGTTAATCCAAACAATTTCGAAAAGGTCAATGATGTAGAATCAACAAAAGAAGCATACGAAAGAAGCATGTGAAATCTTCGAGAAATTGTTTGGAGGCGCAGAGAAGTTTAAAGAGGCGAGGTTACAAACTCACAAAAGAACGTATGAATTATTTCAGATGGAAGACAATGAAAGCATAATAGATTTTTTTCACTAGGGTTATAAAACTGGTGAATCAAATCAAGGTATATGGAGAAGTGTTGACATCAAGATCAGTCGTTGCAAATATTTTTAGGTCATTGGCTCCAAAGTTCGACCACGTGGTAGTAGGCATAGAAGAGTCAAAATATTTGTCAATATTGACAAAGGAAGAGCTTCAAGAGACATTTGAATCTCATAAACAAAGAATGACTAAAAGAGCTACAAGCAAGTCAAAAGGTGAAGTGACTTTGCAGGCGCAATCAACAAGAGAAAAGAAAGGAAAAAGGGAAGTGGCTCGACAACAAAAGTAGAGGAGGATATAACAATTTTATCGGTCAAAATCACCAAGAAGGAGGCTATTCAAATCAGAGAAAGTCCTCATACTAAAGCAACCAAAGAGGTGGTGATACAAGCAGAGGAAGAGGTGGTGGTCGAAAACCTGAAAAAATGACAAAAATCACATTCAGTGTTCCAATTGTCAGAAGTATGTTCATACTCTAGTGATTGTCCTGAAAAATAAAAGAATCAAGAAAATGATGCAAAGTTTGCAAATCATGAAGAAGAATGGATGTTGGTGATGGTCATAACAAGAGATGAAGAAAGATTCTAGGATAATTGGTACGGGGACTTAGGATGCTTATCACATATGAGTGGTAGGAAGGATTAGTTTATCAACATAAAACCCTCAATGAAGAACATAGTGAAACTTACAAACGATAATACTCTAGCAGCTGAAGGTATTGAAGATGTTCTGATTATGAGAAAATATGGCAAGAGGTTAGTAATTTCCAATGTAACTTCCAAAGTGTCGATTGAAGATAAGATGATGAGAGTTATCAACTCAGGTGGAAGGTTAATCTTGAAGGAACTTATGTCTCAAAATAGAACCTTCGGATTGTACTTAGTATGATGGAGCAGAAGTTCCTTGCAACTACAGCTAGCAGGGGTGAATGGATATGGCACTACAGACTTGGCCATCTCAACTTTAAAGACATCAGAGATCTAAAGAGAAGAAATATAATTTCAGGGTTACCAGAAATCGACATTCCAAATGAAGTGTGTGAAGAATGTATGTAGGCAAAGCAACACAAGAACAACTTTAGCAAGGATTCAAGAAGCAAGTCGAAGGCAATTCTAGAAGTCATATACTCTGATGTATATGGACCTATCCAGGTGGATCCAATTAGAGGTAACAAATACTTTGTCACGTTCATAGATGGTTTCAATTGAAAACTGTGGACTTACTTGATCAAGAATAAAAGTGAATTGATCAAGGTATTTGCCAAGTTTAAATCTCTGGTCGAAAGACAAAGTGGTGGAAAGCTCAAGATTTTTAGGACTGATGGTGGTGGAGAATATATATATATCGAAAGACTTTGACACATTATGTGAGAAAGAATGGGTCGTGCATGAGGTGGTTCCACCCTACACTCCACAGCAGAATAGAACTGCAGAAAGGAAGAATAAAACCATCATTAATATGGTGAGAAATATGTTGAAATTCAAATATTTATCTAAAGAATTATGGGGAGAAGCTATGTCGACTTCAACATATATACTGAACAAAATTCCGGCGAAAAAGCTAGAAGGAATTACGCCAGAAGAATGTTGGTATGGTGTCAATCCTAGCTTGAGTCATCTGAAGGTTCGTTGGATCTATAGTACATAGACATGTGCTAAATAAGTTCAGAAGAAAACTTAATGACAAGTCAAGTCAAATGATCCTACTAGGATATCATCCGACTGGAGGATGCAATTTATTCGACCCTGTAAATAAGAAAGAAGTTATCAGTAGGAATGTGATCATAGATGAGCTAAAGGAATGAGATTGGACTGAAAATGTAAAGAAGGATTCAGTGAGAATCTTATGTGAAGAACCAATAAGTGAAGTCGAAAGCTAAGTTCGACAGGAAGATGTCAAAGAATCTTATGTCAGATGGATGTGAAATGTGAATTTCTAAGTGGCCCCTTATATGATGAAGTTTATGTTTTACAACCAACCAGGTTTGTGAAACAAGGCGAAGAAAGCAAGGTATACAGGCTACATAAAGCCTTGTATAAACTTAATAAAGCTCCAAGAGATTGGAATAAGAAGATAGATATCTTTCTAAGGGAGAAATAATTTGTGAAGTGCATAACTGAGCATAGAGTATATGTAAAAAGAAGCAATAGTGAATTGTTTATACTACGTCTTTATGTCGATGACCTGTTGATAACAGGAACTTGCAAGAAGGAGATCGAAGATTTTAAACATAACCTAAGCGAGAAGTTTGAAATGTTAGACTTGGGAAATCTCTCATATTTCCTTGGCATCAAATTCTACAAGAGTGGTAGAGGTTTGATTATGCATCAAAGAAGATATGTAGGAGAAATACTCAAGAGATTTAAGATGTAAAATTGCAACCCAACTTTGACTCCAGTTGAGCCCATAATGCAACTGCCGAAAGACACAGATGAAGATGTTGTTGATCCAACACTGTAGAGAAGACCCATTGGATCACTTTGATACCTTTGTCACACAAGGGCAATCTAACATACAATATAGGTATGGTAAGTAGATTCACACAGAAGTCAAAAGTATCTCACCTAGAAGCGACGAAGAGGATACTATGGTATCTCAAAGGAACTCTCGACTATGGATTTTTTTCTTGAAGTTGATGAAGGAAAATAATGCAAGCTAGTGGGTTACATTGATTCAAGTTTATAAAATGATGTTGAGGATAGAAAATGCATAGTTAGCTATTTGTTTATGCTAGGTGGTGCATCAGTTGCTTGGAGTTCAAGAAAAGAACCAGTTGTAGAACTATAATAATGTTAAGCAAAATACATATCTGCTTCTCTTTGTGCATGTCAAACAACGTGGATGGTGAATCTGGTCAAAGAGATTACAGGGAAGGATCATGGAGTAATTACCTTGAAGATCGACATCATGTCTGCTATCAATCTGGCGAAGAATTCGATAACCCATGGACGAAGCAAGCTCATCAAAATGAGGTCCCATTATCTTCGAAAGCGGGTAGCAAATGGGAAGATGAATTTAGAACACTGTAGAATTGAGAATCAGATTGCAAATATCATGAGGAAATGCGTGCATGTCAAAGTGTTCAAGAAGTTAAGGTCTATGATGAGTATAGATATCTTAGACAAAATGAATTAGGTGATGTGTTTAATTGTAATTCCCTGTGTTGAAGCAGGTTGCTCGACAGGGGCAAGGAAGTTGTTGAATAGCCTAGTATTTGTGTCGAAATTGTTTTATTATCGAAGTGTCGGAGGAGTAACCTCAACATGGATTTTGGAATTGGGCTTAATTTTGTAGTGTTAGAAAAATTAGGTATATGGGCTTTTCTTAGGGAGTAAGCAAACTCAATCTATAAATAAGGAGTAACTCCTACTATCGTAAAGTGATTCACTTGATTAAAATTATAGTTTTGAAAGCAGAGAGCTTCTCTGTGGAAATTCTTCTTCTTACTCTATTTTGTTTTAAATCC